ATATTTCTGTCATTTTCATTTAGTGGAAAAGGCAACTTAGAGGGTAAGAAATCCTCAACAGTGGACGTGTGATTTACCTCAGCGCCCCGTAAATAGGCTCTGTAGGATTCAAGGGTATCTGATACAAGTTGGACCCTGGTTCGCTCCCGTAAGCGTGATAAAACGGTGGTGAGAGTGGCTTCTGTGACAAACGCCGGTGGTAGGAAAAAGTTTTTCCATGACTTTTTTAACTCTGTCTCCAGCTCTTCTTTGCTAAAGGATTGTCGCTAAATGTTCCATAATTTGGTCACAAATGCCCTGAGAGACTACGATCTGAAAGATTAGGTCATTCAGAAGGCGGTGTGCAGCTATAATGCTCTCAGCTGACTTTAGAGTAGGGGAGAGTGGGGCAGATTGAGGAACGGGGCTGTTTGAGGAACTGCCTACAAATTTTGATTGCAGGCACTGACACCGCCGTACGTTGAGTACTTAATTGTCCTAATGTACTTTCATTCCAAAACGTTCATGGAAAAGCTGCGAGTAAACTGGTGCGTTTTTTAAACTACGAATGTCAAAATAGACAAGTTGGCAGCCAAAACGGGAGTTTTTTAACCTTATATATTATGTAATTTCGATATTACGGAGCGCCCCTAATGCGATGGGGCCTTTTGTGCAAGAGAAGACATGCTTCCTGCTTATTTTGCCGTGCCGGGCGGTATGATACAACGCCCCGTAATTCTTTGGGGATTATTTGAATGAATCAATGCAGAACGGGGTAGTTTGAAGAAGACCTGCACGGGGTGAATTGAGGATAGGCCAGCCCATGCTATAGCGTGTGGCCGATAGGATTGCCCCGCTGGAGGGCCATATTTTAGTAGGATTGAGGAACGTTTAGTTTTTTGGCTCTAAAAACGAAACTATTTGAGGTACAGATGTACAATTTTGACTCAGTGAAGGGAAGGAGGCAATGCCTTGACACTGTAAAGCACGATACCATGCGATTCATTAACGAAGAGCAAAAGGCCATTCCTCAAACTACCCCACGGCGTTCCTCATATGGCCCCGTACACGGGGTATAGCTTGAGGAATGCGGGGTGGTATGAGGAACTAACTATATCTCCTCACAAACACAAAGCATTGCAACGCGCTTTACAGTGTTGATACATACTAATGCCACCTTCATTGTGTCAAAATTTCAGGTTTGTGCGACAAATAGTACAGATTTTGGAGCCAAAACAAAAAGTTCCTCAAACCGCCCCGCTCTCCCCTATATTACCTGTCAGCAATCGCTGAATTTTGCCCTAAATACTTTAGAATAATCCTATTCGCCGTCGCCGCACTGCTGTCAGGCCCTCTAGCGAGAAGAAATTTGTGTGACTCCACAAGCTTCCGCAAATCATTCACAGTGAAAGGCTCTACATTACATCTCTTCCAAACTGGGACTAATACACGCCAAAAACGCCGTCTTGGTTTTCAAGCAGTTCGGGTAACGACGCTCCCCTGTATTTTCTCGATAAGAATTGCTCGGCTGCTTGAAAGCCAAGACGTCATTTTATCCGTGTATATTGTTGCTTGGTTTCCCAAGATTACAAGTTCTGAGCTGAAAGTTTTGCCCTTGAGATTCCCTGATTAATGCTAGCTTGGAAAGGAGCCGATATGACACAGAGTTCAGGACCAGAAATGTGCATGTGTGGTTGGAATTTTTCCCGCCCGCTATGTGAACTACTAAGTCAACGTCGCGTCTCTCCGCGGCTCGAACCTCGTCCTCGCGAAGAGCAAGGGCTTCGCACAGCCGCTTCCCGGCGAGTGCACGAAGCAAGACAACCCAGGCATAAATTAATCTACACGGGGGCTCATATTGCTCACTATAAAAAAAATTGGGGGTGATTTTACTACTTTGCTCTATAAACGCTACTGTCAGCAGTTTTGTCACATAAATTTAGGTTTCCTCAGGAGACAGAAATTTATGTGTACAGATGGTCTGGAAATTTCTGAAGACACTGGTATCATAAGTCAGCTTTGCGTATCCACAGGCATACTGCATGAGAAGACTGGTAGGTGACACGTTTGAGTGTGTGCCATGTCTTGTTAGTTTATTGTGGAACGTTTCGCTATGTATCATCTGCTAGAAATATGTATAAGTTGAAAAGACCCCCTTCCCCCTCATAGAACTGAACGGCTTAGATCTCGAGGCTGGATAAGGTATCTCTGGAAAGAGAAACACTAAATCGAATAGGAAATTATCACCAGGGCACAATGTCAGAGAGTGCTGCCAGGCGGGAGGCCGCCAGGGCCGTTCTATCCTCGTCTCCAACATCACGGCCTCTTTCGCCGCTGGGGATCATTCAGAGAGTACGTTGTACGTCCGTCATTTCTGAACCTGACAAGTTTAGGCTCTGTACGCTCCCGTAGAGCCTGATGCGTAGGCAAAATCTTGCTTCCAATGCATGCGAGTATTGCGGGGTGGCCTAACCCGAGTCTTGCAGGCGCTGAGCTGCCGTCATTTTCCCAATGAATCTGAGGAAAACGGACATACTTTCTGGGCGACCCCTGAACGGTTTAGAGGGAGGCAGAGGGCTAGTTGGCATTCGTACGCCTCGGGCTGCGCGGGCTGCGCCCTGTTGTGCCCCGCGCTCGCCACCCTACCTCAAAGCACGGCTGCAGGCGCGAGCGGCAGCCTGGTGGCGCTCAGCTTTGGCCCGCTCTAATTTGGGTGGCGAAACCCGATAACTCGCAATTAGCCAATGGCTGCGTCGTCGCCGCCTCCGCGGAAGTCCTCACGGCGCGCGAGAGGAGGCGGCAGGGCGCAAACGGACGAACGCGACGCAGAGCGCCGGCAGCGGAGGACCACTTCTCATGTGGACGGGTATTGTGAAAAAATAAAAATAAAAGAACGGCTAGGTGGAGGAGGGTTGTTATTTAATACATCCATAATCCGGTAGACAAGGCGTTCCATTAGAATCAGCGATCTTTGCGGAAGAATTACCCCAACAGTAGCTCTTAGGAGGAAATATCATTAACGGTTAATGTTAAACATACCGTGTCATATTTTATTGCTTTCGGGAAGCCAGGTGGCTGACTCACGCCGCCTGTACAATATAACTACGAAAATAAGCGGCGTGAGCCGTGAGCCAGCCACCAATGATCCCACAAGAGAAAGACATCCGAAACCACAAATATGAGAGTTTTCTTTTCACTGTTTAGTCATATTGAAATGCACTTTGCTATCCTATGGTCCGGATGAGCCATGCTGACAGGAGCGCGACGGCGACGCCGAGTGTGGGACGCAAGGAGAGAGAGCCGTTACACTTGCATTGACAGTCAAAGTTGTCTAGCGCGCACTTGGCGTTACATTCATCATCAGCCCCACAGCGGATACCACACGAGATTGTATTTTCGATGCAATTGTTCTGTGCCATGCACTTGGCCACCTGAGTGGCGTCTGATTTGCCCGCCGAAACACCAAAACAGTCACAGTAGCAAGTCCAACCACACTTAGCATTGCATTTGGTATCGCCAGAGCTGCAGCCGCAGGAACCAGAGACGGAATCGCACTGAAACAAGTCAAGAGGGCGACATAAAGTAAAATGAATACAACACTAATAAAAGTGTGCAACTGCTGAACACTTGTCAGTGTGCCACTTCAAGTATTCAACTCCTTGCAACACTTGCAAGTTGGGGTCTATACCGTTTGTTTAACCCGCATTTCTACAACCTGGTGAACCTCTTAAAACCTAGATCCGTTTGTTCAACCGCCATTTTCTTCAACTTCCCATTTATACAACCTTTTCTACAACCTACAAATTTTTACAACCTTTCTAGGCTCTTAAATGGAAAGAACAAAAATTGGATTTTCTTCGGAATTATTGGAAAAACCCATTTTAATAGTATTTTTCAAATAAATCGCAATTTTTCAAAGAAGGCCATATCACTGACAACCCTTGAGTGAGGTGTCGTGATTGAAATGAGTGAAACAAGTTTGCCTCACTCGACCATAAGGCTCACCCATAGAGTAACAAGTAAATTTCTAACACATAGAAAGAACCACTCACCTTCGTTTTCTGACAACTACGTATTTTCTGTAAGTCATCAACGGATGAGCGAACCGAGCTCCGCGGCTTGTTGGATGGGTTTCCGATAGTCGGTTGTTTGAGTGCGTTGTGTGAGTCGGAGCATGATCCAGGGTGGGCAGTTACGAGTCCTGAAAGCCAAAGAGAGCGTAATATGGCGTAATGTAGGACTAACAAGGGGACTTAGGCAAGTGTAAATTCCCGATCGTGCCCAAACTAGGTATATATTTGCTTCTTGTCTATGTAGGTGGGGAATTCCGACCAAATTTTTTCCTGAGTGTCATATGCTGAAACTTCCTAAAAGCCGATAAAAGCGTAGGCCTATAAATAAGACTAGCTACATGTACGCCAGACCACGTCTCGCGTAACAGGCTTCGCGATATCTCACGAAACACTGTTACGCTGCGACGCGCCTGGCGCACATATAGCTAGGCCAGCGGCGCTGACACCCGATACGAGTTCAGGAGAGGGTATAGGGGAACAGGGTCTTCCGGGCCCAAAATTTGACATACTCGAACCGTTTGTCGGGGTCTTCTTACTCTAAAATTAAGGGACATGGAACTTCTGCTGTTCGGTAACGGTTTTCATTAAAAATCAAATTTTGTCAGATTGTTATGTGAAAATCAACGTTTTAGTGGTAGTAGGGGTAGTAGGGACCCTTAAGGCCAAAAGAGGGTGTGGTTCGACCCGTAACGTGTGGTCTAAGTATTACTTCCTTTAAAATTCTGTGACATGAAGCCTTTTTTACGCTTTCATAGACCATTTTGTCTTTTTCACGTTGTTTTCGCCTAGAAATGCGCCATAGCGTCGAAACGGTACAAGATAGAGCAAAACGGACGAAATTTTCGTTCAAAGGGTTCTACTTTCACGAGTTACCCCTTAGAAGCCCATACAAAAATATTTGGGAAAAATAATATTTTGCGACCTGTGGTTTTTGATTTTTTTAAAAGTCAATTTTTGAGCTACAATGCTCATCTTTGAACTCGATCTGTCTTTTTATGATACAAAACGACCCTGAAATTCCCAGATTGATATCTCAATTCTTTCTCGAGTTATCGTGCGGACAGACGGACAAACAGACAAACAAACAACACTGTTAACTAGGTAGATGTACGCCAGACCACGTCTCGCGTAACAGGCTTCGCGATATCTCACGAAACACTGTTGCGCTGCGACGCGCCTGGCATACATCTACCTAGGCCTGCGGCGCTGACACCCGAGTCGGGTGGCGCAAAAATGTAAACAGAGGGCCTCCGGCCCGCCAACTTTCCGTCTCTTCGACTAAGCATGCAGGGTTGTACATGTTTTCGCTTATTTTCATCAAAAACTCCCTGTGGCGCCTATATGGTTGAACATAGAGCCAAACGGACGAAATTTCCGCCCAGAGGGTTCCACTTTG